CTCTCGGTATCCACTCAGAGTCCTAACACCCGGTACGTGCATATGGGCGGAACGGAGACAGACGACGAGAGTTGTTACCATCCCTTCCCTGCCCAACGACCGAGGCAAATAGTAACGAGTGGTGGCATGGAGACCGTGGCTAGCTGGTGTCACTTTTGGGAATGTCCTGTTGGGTGAATATCTTGGTTGTCTATGCCTCCCTGGGAGCCCCAGTCAAGAATTGACGGCACGCTTGCGTTGGCGTTGGTTGACCTGTCCATTGACGTCGACGTGTACTGAATGCAGGAATAGACGAGCGCCTTGATTGGTTGATGACAGTTAATGACTGGAAGGTATAGAAGAAAAATACGACTCACCAAGAGCGCCTTCATAAGCATATGATGCCGTAAGCTGGAGCTGTCATGATTGCGAGCGGTGGATGTAAAACGATGACTCGTCAAAACATCAGAACATAAAAATACAAACATCCGAATGGAATTAGATTGCGATAGTGATATTGGTGCGGCTCCAGCTTCGCGTCAATCAAAAAACTTCCGTCGGGGATGGGAAAGCGTTGTACCGGAAAATCTGGGTGGTACGACTGAGGCATCGGACGCGTCGATGAATGGTTGGACGCGTTTTCAGCTGTTTTCACGCGTTTGGACAAAGGGAAGTGCTCTCCATGAGCCTGATACCTATTTGGACGCGTCTAATTGTCTTCGTGATGCATGTAGACACATATATGGTTTTCCATGACGGTTGAATATGAAAAGTTGGTTGGTATCGGCGATGCTGTCTATATAGGGTCGTGAATGGCACCAGCGGGTGTTTTGAAACCTGGCTGCATGAATGGACAACGAGGCTTTGATTGACGCGTTGAACGCGTTTACCATGCTGTCGCGTTTAGGGCATCCCAAAAGAGAAGTGCCTGACAGAAATCAAGGAGACAGGGAATTGACTCCGGAGCGGCATGATTGACTCGTAGACTCGTGTCATCTATGCCAAAACGGTAAGAGTACCCATAGGAGTCGTCAGGGTGACTCGAGAGGTCTCCATGCATCTGGGTGGGAAAAAATGGCGCGCGAGTCACTCACTCCTGCATAAAGCGGACAATGAGAATGGTATCCAATGGCGGGATGATTCGAATGATGTGACAGACCAAAAGGCTCGCATCTAATGCAATATGCGCTAGGTGAAGCCAAGGTGAGGCGTGTTCGCGCAAAAGAGCTAGCGACGGGATTGCTTGCTTTGTCGTGATATAGAGGCGTCGGCAACCTGGCCTCGTGTTGCTTTGTGTAGACAGTTGTTTTGAGCTGTCCGTCTTGAAACGTGTACCTTTGGCGGGGAAGGGTGACCTGTGACCGATCGCTTTGTCAGCTTATGTGATCTGGGAGGAGTGAGGACTCATTGTCCCTTTATCTCTCCCCTCTTCCATTGTCTGCATTATGTCCTTCGTCTTCCCTGACACTCACAATACTTAAGCAAATCCCCATTGTACATCTATTCCACAAACTTTTGTGCCTCCACCAACAATCGCTTCCACCTATCTCTCTCTCATCGCAATGCATGCCCCTCAACCTTTCCTGGCCGCTCTTCGGAACCGCGACTCCGCGACCATTCGTCTCATGTCGCCACCACCCATGCACGCAGAGCTTTCTCTAAGAACAGTTAGTCGCGTTCAGGCTACATTCATAGCAACGATCTCTGACCTTATCCTGCCTTTTCAGTCTCATGAACGACTCAGATCACCCATTCATCTCGAGGAATCCACTTCAGATTTATCGGTAAGTTGTGCCACTCATCCCTCGCGATTTCTTAACCGACGATAATTCTCCTCAGTGGTGCGCGCCTTCTTCCCGCAGACGGCCCAGAGCAGCTGCGCAATCCACACGACGACGTCGCTTATCGCCACGCGCCGAACGTATCCCCACAGCACCATCCCACGCGTTCGACGAGCTTCCTTGGATCTCCTCGTTGGAATCTGCCTCTGACATGCTCAATCCATGGGATATTGCCGATCTTTCACTCATCCCCGACTCCTCTCTGACTGATCTATCCGCGTCCGGACCCGGCCCTGTACGCCGACGGAAGACATCGTTGCGATCTAATCCCGTCGCCTCCTCCACCAAGAATAACTCACCTGGATCCCATTTCCCAATTCGCGACACCTCACTTCTAGCTTCTCCATCTGTACCAACACCTCGATCGCGGTTCACCCCGTCTCGTGTCCTATTTCAGAACCTCATGCCCGTCCTCTCATGCGACTCCGTGGAGAGACCGGCTCAATCATGTATCAACAGCTCGCGTATCAACTTCTGATCTTTCGCATTCTCCGACACTGCTGCTTATCTCCCTTCTGATCTTCAACCATTGCTGCTACTACTAATCCTCAACTGCTTTATCAACAACGCAGCACGGCATTCATCATTATCACTCTTTACGTTTAACTGCCACGCAACTTATTTAAATCTGCATTACGATCCAACGCACGGCCTACATCATCACCAGTATCATCAATTTCCAAACGTTATTATCCACTCCATCTACCATACATAGCTGCAACCATATTCGATATCTTATTCTAACTGTACCGCTTTGCAAATTTCCAGCTGTCTCAACACCCGATCTTCGTGATTTATTTGTTGACTTATGTGTTTTTCTCATATGTCGCATATCATTCTCCTCATCCAACGTCGCATATATTGCTTTCCTATCTACCTTTCGTTGCTTTCCTTCGACTTTTTCGCATAAACTCTTACAGCACATACATGTTATTCAATACGCTGTCAACCAGTTCCTCCTTTATCAAATCACAAACACTTACGTGCAACATACCTTTCCGCACTTGCTTTCGAATCGTTGTTTCCCAGTTTATGGACAATGCTGCCTGCGGACAGCGTAAAACGAACATTCACTCTGTACGTGGCTGTACGCCGTTCCCTATGTATGCTATGCACGCACTCGAGTAGTGCTGTATGTACAAATCCAATGACAATGGTTATCAGAATGACGAAATTATTGCTCGAACTGATTAGATGAGATTACAAGCCAAACGAGTCATCGGCGATTTAGGACAAAACATCCAACGTTCACAACTTTCTCTATTCTTCGCTTTTCTCAACCATGGCAGAAACATCGCGTGTTATGAACTTCGGAGCAGGCCCTTCAGCCTTGCCCGAGTCTATCCTCGAGGAGGCGGCAAAGGGGCTGCTCAACTTCCAAGGCACAGGAATGGGCGTTGCCGAAATATCGCATCGCTCAAAAGAATTCACTGCCTACATCGCTGGCGTCGAGGTTTCCATCCGCCAACAACTCGATGTCCCAACAACGCACTCTATTCTCTTCATGCAAGGAGGCGGCACGGGGCAGTTCTCCGCCGTCGTGCTCAATATGCTCGCGCGACACAGGCTGCTCCACCCTAATCTAGCAGACGACGAGCGGGTCATGGATTATGTCCTTACTGGTTCGTGGAGCAAGCTCGCAGCCAAAGAAGGCGGGCGTCTAGGCGGAGGAGCCCGGGTCAACATTGCGGTCGACGCGCGGGACTCGTCGGCTGATGGGAAGTCATTCGACAACATCCCCGCGCACTCAGCGTACAAGTTCTCCGAGGACCCGGCATTGATCTACTACTGCGAGAACGAAACCGTCAGCGGGACGCAGTTCTCCCATGAGGAGGGCGCCGCGGAGTCCTTCCCTTTCCACTTGCTGCCCGAGGGCAAACTCCTCCCGCTCGTGGCGGATTATTCCTCCTCCTTCATGTCGCGTCCCATCCCGCGTCTCGCAGACCACGCGATCATCTACGCCGGAGCGCAAAAGAACATCGGCCCCGCAGGATTGACCATCGTCATCGTCCGACAAGACTGCATCGTCGACGTCGACGCCGCTGCCGCCCTCGGGGCCGTACCCGTGCCCGCTGGACTGACGTACAAGAATTTCGCGGATCAGGGCAGCATGCCGAATACCCCTCCCGTGTTCTCGGTGTATGTCTCTGGACTGGTGTTGAAGAGGAACGCGGAGCTGGGTGGTCTTGAGTATTACGAGAAGCTCAATAGGAGCAAGCAGGAGAAGGTGTATGGGGTGGTGAGGGAGGGCGAGAAGAAGGGTCTTTTGAGAGGACATGTGAAGGCTGGCAGTGGGAGCTGGATGAATGTCGTTTTTGAGGTCCTTGGTGAAGGCGCGGAGTCTAGGTTCTTGGCTGGTGCTGCGAAACAGGGAATGAAAGGGCTCAAGGGCCATCGGTGAACAATCTATTTTTTATTTTTCTTGGTATCAAGCTGACTTGTTTCTTCTGCAGCTCAGTGGGAGGCATCCGCGTCTCGCTCTACAATGCGATCACGGAAGAGCAAACAGACAAACTGGTCACATACATCCGTGAATTCTTGGAAGAAACACCAGCTCAACAGCCCCCGCTTCCTTCTGAATCTCTGAACCAGTGATTACATTAGTTGCTTAAATGACGAATCGCCCCAGGACATCGAAGCGATGTCTTTTATATGACTTGCACAAAACCAAAACCCTCAAGCGCTTGAAATCAACTTGGGGGACGCATCACGCTCACGAAATTCAACATTTCATTGTAGCTACCACCACCGTGTTTTCGGGTGTCCAGCCCGCCCACTTTCGCCGGAACGACCTGAACATTTCGTCTTCTACTACTCAATTTGTACAATTGTATCAATGGATAGTACCTGTGTTTTATACACCGCAAGTCTCGACTCCCTTCTCATCGCGTCACTTTACATATCCAATGACATGTCGTAATGTGAGCTCATGTACTTACGATCTGCCTACCCGCACTATATGTTGAGCTACAGAACAACAAAATCAACAAGTCACTTTGCCGGAGTGGTTAACGGGATCGCCTGCTATCATGAGTAGTCAAGCGGTTGGTCTTTGACCGCGAGTGTTCGAATCGCTCAGGTGACGCTTTTTTGCTTCATCCTCACATCGAGGCTGTTTACTTCTTTATTTTTGCACTCTGTGAGAACCCCCGGCAATAGCAGGCGGGGCAAGAAACACCAGTCACTTTGCCGGAGTGGTTAACGGGATCGCCTGCTATCTTGAGTAGTCAAGCGGTTGGTCTTTGACCGCGAGTGTTCGAATCGCTCAGGTGACGCTTTTTGGTTCATCTGCCCATCGATGGCTACTTTGGTTGCTGTTCTTTTGCACTCTGGGTCGATGATATGTTTCTTCGTGGACAACCTGCGCTGACTGGTTACTTGTCAACGATCAAGATTGATCGTGAATCAAGGTCTTTCATGCTTCATACTGCTTCATTTCAACGTCCCAAAGATTCAACTCCTCCCTGAGACTATGCAACACTCGGTTCTTCTCTGTGACAGTTTTAGCCTGGCCATGCCCCCTGAGTACTGATATACTCGTCTTCAACTCCAACATGGAGTCGATGCAACTGATAGGGGGCTTGCCGCACATCACAAGGTCGTTCTCGATGCAGTCCTATCAACTTAGCGAACTTTTCTATATCCACTACCTTGCGATGCGGGAGATGTCCATGTACTACCCGAGACAACTCTAGTGATGCTAGGCCGCATAAAAATGACAACTTGCGTCAGCCTCGCTGCCATACTTAAAATACTACATCCGGCCGACATGAAATCCTCCTTCATTGAACAAAGCTGCCCTTAAGTACCTGGTTGCAAAGCCCCTTAAAAATCGCAGACAAGCAGTGCCCGTCGACGCCGCCGCTACAACCAGTCCATCAATGAGCGTGATATATCTTGTATTCCAAATCGACGCCCTCAAGTTTCTTGCCTGGAACACTGCCCAGTTTGTGGTGGTAGCGATGGCAAGAGCGAGTGTGCCCAGGATTCCTCCACGTAACTGGACATTGGATAATAGGCGCTTCATTGGTGCGGAGAGTGGGACGGCGCATGGAGCCCCTATCTTGAAACCCCACATCAAAGGTCAGTTTCGCTGCTGAATCGCTTACCCACAAGGACAGAGGCTAAAACTACATTTTCTCTAGTCCCAAACCTGACCTCCACTCGTGAGGACCAGATTGAGTCCAGTTCGGAAGTTGGCACCAAAAAAAATAATCTTGGGAATATTCGGGGCATTCCTGCGGTCCCGAAAGTACAAGGCCTCCAAGGCCTCAGAATCAGCCGGGTCGCTTCAACTCCAGCAAAGCCTGCAGTCCCAACCGTGTTCTCCGACTTGTCATTTTCAATCTATACCGTGCGTTCTTCCCTGCCTTATTTCGCTGGAGAAGCTCAGTCTAAACCCCTGCACTGCAGCCTTCTGCCCAATTTGCACTTTTGATTACACCAGTACGACGTGCCCTCATGTCCGTACAGGATGTAAATGTCGCGTTGCTCAAAGGCGCGAGTGAACGGGTCAGTGAGATCCTTCGAGAGAACCGTCGCCGACTGGATGCAGGCGAGGATCCGAGCACCCTTCGAAGTACGTGTGTTGTTCCACCTTGAGTTTTGAATGTACTAACTATACTTCTCCACGTCAGAGGAGGCCCGTCGCCGGCGCGCGCAAGAGCTCTCTGCTCGTCGCAAAAATCATGCAAACCCTTTTCTGTGATTAGGGATGAATCAGTCTGCTTCTGAGCTACATGTTCCGTTATCTTGTCGTTGTTTTCTTGGATCCATTCAAATCACAGTCATTTTCTCTTCACAGTACCCCTTATTCTTCTCCAACTATACATTAGGTCTCTGTTCGGTAGGTCTCTGTTCTAGTCATGATCAGATTCAATATACGACACTCTCGTCCAACCGATGTTATCATCCTCCAAGCAAAGACACAGATGAAAATGCGTGAATTCACCCACTGGTTCCAGTGTTCCGCTAAGTAGTACCTGTTATTCTCTGAATTTCCCGTATCAGTTGCGACATTAGGTTGATCGTAAGACGTAGGCCGTCGTTCTGATCTGAAAACATTATTTCCTGACAATTGCGTTTGATTCACATGTACATCTTGAATTTGTCATTGTGCCATGCCCAGTTATGCGTGGACATCTGTTGAGCTCAAAGCTACTAGGGTAAAATGATAGATGACATCGAGTCACAATGAATGGCCAAAGCGTGCGCGTGGAAAAAGCAAATGCACAAGAACACTGCCCCTGAGAGGGTCGAACTCTCGACCTTCCGATTGCTTGTCTGTGACTAACAGTCGGACGCTGTAACCAACTCAGCCAAGGGGCATACATTATTCACTGTACTCTATCTCACATAACGCGATGGAGATTGAACACTTGCGAGACGCGTTTGTTGTGCATTGCACATACATACCTTAAACCAACGTGAAACGCTTTAAAGTTTGCTTGGGCTGGAATTGGTACGAAGCAAGCTTGTCGTGGACTACAAAGCCACAATCAAGGAGTGTATTGTGCACGCCTGTCAAGCTCAAGAAGACAGAGAGGGCCATGTTGTTGTGTGAGGATGTCTACTTGGTTGTTTAGCCCAGGGCAAACCGTTGATCTTATGCAAACTATAGATCGACCAAGCCCTAGTCGTCGTTTGTCTGCAACGGTATATGACCTTATCCAAAGTGGTAGGTCGATTCGGTCCAAATGTGAAGGGTTATCACCCTGAACCCATTCCAACGACGAATGTACTGCGGCCACCGCGTGGCAGCACTAACACCTTCTCCGCCCCATGTTTCTGGTATGTTTCGATACTAGGAGTAGCCATAGAGCCCATAGTAATCACACCAGCCATGGGAAGTGCAGTGATGGTGACCTTTGGAAGGGAAAACTCCCCATGGTACAACGCAATCAGCGTTATAGGGACTACATGTGTCGCCCCGTCCTGTTGGTTCGTCCTCAGTAAGTCGTTAGTAGGTGGACGAGGAATCTTACTGTTGCTATAAAATCACCACGTTTCGGACCACTGACCAGCCACTCTTTAACCATCTCCTCGATGTTAAACCGCAGGACATATTTTCGATTTGTGTCGTTCTGAGATGAGCCCCAATGAAACGACGTTTGGATCGATAGGTTGGCAGAAATTGGTTGTCCAGCATATAGAGACAGTTTTTCATCAGGCGCCGCCTCCTTGGCGAAAGGCGTTGAAATTATGCGAATGCATGCGGCAGCAACAATCTTCGAAGATTAGGCCGGGAACATGGAAAGAATAGATCAACTTACATTCATGAAAGGAACATCGACTGGGATCTTGATTTCGCGCCATTCACCTTCTGGTGATTCAGGATGTCTGTAGTCGGCCATAAGCTACATCGCGTAGTAAGAAAATGTATATGTGAAGGGCATTTCGTCTTACCTTCCTTGCCTTCCTCAAAAGTTCACTTATTTCGCCTTCTTCCTTGTCAATGTCCGGAACAATAAGCTCTCCCGTGATATTGTACATATCCACCCATGCAGCGTCGCTCTCTAGCGCGTCAACAAGCTTGCCCACTAAGATGAGCCTATGTTGCGGAGAAGGAGACTCCTCTAAGACCGCTCGTACTTGATCTTCAATGACTGACTCGACTTCTTAAGAATAAGTTCGGCATCAATGAAGACTTCACATCAATTTGAATTTGAATTAGCTTACCTTCCCGTAGCATCCTGTATTTGATGCGCAAAATAAGGGATTCTCGAACTACACAAGTAGGAAATTAGTAAGAAGCATCGTCTGGCTGGAAATAACATCTACCAGGGCCATGAAGGGAATCCAGAGCAAAAAGAAAATTGGCGGGTTGCGCTGGTGTAACCGTCTAGAGCGATTGACTAAGGATCGCTGTTCCTTGCGCATATACGACACTCACCACTACGGGGCGCCTGTGCGTGCATGACCGGATTCCTACCCCATCGGGACCTCCCGCGGGTAGATCAAGGCTTGCGTCTGCTATTCGTACATGTTGATGGCTCGTGGTCGAGACAGTGAATTTGGAGATAAGCCTAGGTCAATTGAGCTAGATTCCATAAGTGACAACAGATAAGGAATTACCTGGTCCCACGGAAGAAGTCTTCTACATTGACTGATATTGGGAGGGTTGTAACCAGCACTCTTGAGAATTGTGAAGCACGTTGTATCGTAGGCTCATCGACGGTCGTATATTCCACTTCCATATTGACTTTCTAACCACGATATGTGACGATTTTAAATTGACCAAAGTGTGAGGCCTACGTACCATTGCGCTGAATGCTGAAGCGTCAGAGTGAGGTACCAGGAATGTAAGATTAGTGTCATCGTCAATGTCTTTGATTGTAATCTCCTCTTCTGTCGCTTCGAATGATTCCACCTCCTCGTCTGTGCATTTGTTTTTTCATTAGAATGTGCCAAGAAATAATCTGTAATCTCACCTTGGAGTAGGATAGCCTGTTGACATCGGAAGGTAACGGATGATGAAAATCGAATAATAAGCTGATCAATGTGATTTCTCCCTGTCGATAGAACGACCATGAGAGCGGGTGATTTTCCAAGTTCAACTGGAGTGAAAATTCAGCTTCAGTCCAGATCCAGCTTTGAGAACCTACTGCGATTAGATTGAGACAACCGCACATCCAAGGCAAGCAGATCTTGGGGCACTTGAACAAGGTCTGGAGGTTTAGACGAATGGCCTTTACTCGAACCCTTGCGATAATTCGATTGGAATAGAAGATGAGCAGCGCGGATTTCACTTGACTCAAGAACGAAAGTACCAGAAGACGATGCCTATGTCCGAGGATGAGTTTCGAAAGTGAGGATTACAAGATAGAATCATACTGGACAGAACAAAGATAAATCTGATTTCCCAGGTGGGCAACCTTGAGATATCGGTGATGAATATCGGAACTTGTCGGAATCTCTTCCAGTCAAGACGATGTGGATCTCATCAGCGGGGAGAACCTTTCGGAATGTTAAGCCTATAAAAAAATTTAAACGGGTTGGGACTAACACAGGGCAGATGGTTGATGATGGAAACGTCAACGTATGACCCATCTCTAGTTTCAGCAAGCCTTGCACTACCTGATACGCGAACAGTTACAGCTGGGTGGTCAGGGTGTGCTAGGTCTAGGGCGGATAGAGTTCAGATAGGTCGTGGTATCAAATGGGATACCTGGACTCACCCCCTTCGAGTCGTTCTGCAGAAACTCTCAGAGAGTTCACAAGATTTGAGACGTAGTCGATCTTGTCTGCTTCATGCATGAGCATCTCCGCGTTGTGATGTTCAACGTATGTTTTGAGGTATGAAAGCACGATGTGTATCCATTCCACATCCTGAGCCTTATCAAGTTGTTTATGGGTATCGAGTGCCCGAGATAACATGAAAGACTCCAGTGATGTCCACATATGAGGAGCATAATGGGCGGGCAGCGATGAGTAGGTTGTGAGTGCTGATGTAAGGTTTCCGCGGTGACTGGCATGGTTGAAGGGAGAGTGTTAGCCCATTTCCACCCCTACTCAATGAATAGCTTACAGTTCGAGAGTTGCTAGGCTGCCATGGAGTTTTAACGCAAACTTCCGCCGTCCTGACTTAGCGTATAGATCAATGGCGCGATTCGTTATGGCAATGTAAAGTTCGTAGAAGGCTTGTTGATTGCTCATTGCTGTGCTAAGGATTTCATTTGAGAACCGAACCTCAGTCCCTGGATGAAGTAGCCTTTTCCTTGACGGAGAAGTGGTGAAGGGAGGCGTAGATGGAAGATGTCCCGCTTCTATCCCAATAATATCAAGCTACCACGGAGCATGAAGTGTAAATAAAGGTGGGGATTGCACAGCGGCGATAAAAGCTACCTGACTTCGCGCCACATCTAAAAGTTCGCCTTTACCAGCGTTAGCGGCCGTGGATTTGGAGGCATCAATCTTGAATGTTGTTGACCATGTATTGCATTGTTCGACTGCACTCAAAGCAGAAGAATATATCCATGCCTCTATGAAAAGGGGTGGAAGGGTTGACTGAAAAAAGTCAATCATTTTGTTCACGAAATACTAGAACGCTCACCTCAACCTCGCGTAGACGTCTTCCAAAAGCACCCAGAAAGAAACCAACTTTGGTGGTGATATCGTTTAACCGACCCATTTTGGCAAGAAGTTGGCATTGGCGGGAGAGGAGATATATTCGAAAGTCAAAAACAGATATACGGTTAGCAAGGATGAGGTCTCTATATGGTTTCTTCGCGATGGACAGTAGTGAATGTGAATCGTCTTCAACGCCGGGGTGGATGAGGGAGCCAAACCATGACATGTTTTTATCCTTTGAAACGCGGTAGAAAGATGCTTCTAGTTCGTCGTATGGAATCAGCGCTTCCTCGAAGAGATTCATTCCCTCGAAAGAGGTCGCTAAACTCTCCTGTGAGTACGTGAGCATCAGACATATCAAGTTAGCGAAAACAGTACCTTAAGAATGAAGAACGTGCAGAAATTCCAACCAGGCATCAATTGTTGGTTTTCAGATCGCTGCACTTCCTCTAGTCTCAAAGCAATCGCCGCATCGAAAGCGTACATCAGGCCTTCCTTCATCCTGTTCACAAATTCCGCCCACGCAAGTGGGTTTTCGTTTCCCGCCACCCAGTTGACCTGAACGCATCTGTTTCCCTTCATCAGCGGATAATTTATGAATCACTCACTACAAACACAACTCACCGATCACGTTTGTCCGAGTTGAAATCTGTTCTCAGTTTGTCTAATACTGATCCCTTTATCTGAAAGAAATTCCCAGTTGTGGCACGTGCCGTCTCTGGTCTGACAATCTGGACAACTATCCATTCTTGGTGCTTTCGCGCAGAGACAACGGCATGCCACTCCTTTATTTGTTTCTTGAAGGCGGTTCGGTACGTGTCCTGGTCGTTATCCTTCGCGCTATATATCAGTTACAAGGCCGTAGATGATAGCGAAGCTCTTGCCTCGCAGTGTAGTATGAAGACGTTAAGGAGAGGTCTTTCCAACAATGTTACAGGCACTTGAGAGGTATGTGTATCGCGCAGTGAGTCGATTGGAACCAGTGTTACATCTAACTCTTGGATTGTCTTCACAGAACTTCTAGATGCAGATTTCCAATGTATGTTTCTCAGAGGCAGTTGGGCGAGGAGTGCCGCGTGAACTTTAGTCCATGGAGGTGACGCCAGGAAACTTGGAGGCGCAGCATAAGAAACAAGAACACGCTGGCTGGACGAACTTGACGGCACAGCCATGGCGGTCGTGAACGGTGCCTATTTTGCACAGTTTCGCTCGCTGAAGCTATAAATTAGACTTGTAAGGACCAGTAATAGGTGGACCGA